TTTCGTAGAACTTTATACAACTTTGTGGTACAGATGCATTGGGATTTACATTTGTTATAATTATACTCCTCAAGACTGATAAAGGGCCCTTCGGACGATCACAATTTACGTACGACAAGTCTAATGAAAAAGTAAAATGAAATTCCATCCGTATGACAAAAAAGAGAATAAAAGTCGTATGATTTATATTTTTTGTGTTTACACAAAGTAAGATGGAAACAGCTGTTTCACTTTTTTGTATGTGTTTGTATAAAAATATATCCCTGATCTTATGCGACTTGCAAGTTTGCCATCCGTATTTTTTCTCAATGTGTGATGATTTCATTACATATTGCGTTTAGACGATCCCATCCGTTGTCTTCTACACAATATTTTGACAAATCATATTACTTGTGTGCTCGTGTGAAGGAGGCTTAAGGTTTTATTATAAGTTTATTATTCCAATTTTCATTAGCGATTTCTAACAAGCCCAATTTAGACACATCAAATTGACTTTCCTTTTCTTGCCTTTTCTCGAAATTGTGCACAATTTTTCCAAAAAGAGTTGACTAGTCTATGGAGTATTGACTATTCGTTTGACTAGTCTATTGACCAATCAATTGATTATTTTTTAATTCTTCTTTTGTATAGTCTTTTGACTAGCCTATTGACTAGATTATTTACTAATCTATTGATTAGTTTATTGACTATTGACGAACCAGTTGACTAGCCTATTGACTAGTCTATTGACTAGACTATTGACTAGACTACTTACTAGCATATCAACTAGTCCATTGACTAGTTTATTGACTATTGATGAGCCTATTGACTAGTCTATTGATTGGTCTATTGATTAGTGTATTGACTAGTCTATTGACTAGACTACTTACTAGCATATCAACTAGTCTATTGACTAGTTTATTGACTATTGACGAGCCTATTGACTAGTCTATTGATTGGTTTATTGATTAGTCTATTGACTAGTCTATTGACTAGTTTGATTATTGATTATTGATTAGACTATTTACTAGTCTAGTATTGACTAGACTATAGACTAGTCTATTGACTAGCTTATTGAATTGTCTATTGATTGGTCTACTGGTTATTCTATTGATTAGTCTTGACTAGACTATTGCCTAGACTATTTACTAGTTTATTGGCTAATTTATTGACTAGTCTATTGACTAGTTTATTGACTTTTGACTTGTCCATTGACGAGTCTATTGAATAGTCTATAAACTATACTGTTGAGTTCTTTGGGACTATTGACTGATCTATTGACTAATATATGTACTATCCTATTGAAAATTCTATTATGAGAAGCTAAAAAAGTACTTAATATGTCATAGGGGTACTGCAGTATTTATCGATGTCAAAAAGTACTGAATTTTCCATACTCGTAATACTACTCTCGATATCGTGACCCCATAAGATCATTGTGCTTCTATTCAGACCGAATGAAATTCTCGAATTCCTCGAACGCATTTGCCTTCGTCCGTTTAACTTCCCAAGTTCGCTTACCTTTATAACAAATACATTCCGACTCTCGTTGACGATTACTTCTGAGTGGTCTGGTAGGATGAAGAGTTCATAAAATTCGACACAACTGAATGTATATTTGTTTTAATCTGTTCAGTTTTGAGATATGACAACACATCTATAAATTGACGTCAACGTCGTTTGACACTTTTAAGGGCACACGTGCTTTGAAGCTTGTTTTTGCACGTGTATAATTTAAAATTCCTCTAGAGAATTGATAAATTGATTTTGAACGTAAACTATAAACGGGGAATAGCCGAACTAATGAAACCCTACAACAGTTAGAAATATATTTAATGTAATCAAGGTGATTTTTTTTTTGGGTCCGATGAGATTAAGGCATTCATAATCTGTATAATTCTTAGGGGGGACTTGAAAGGAAGTTTATGGTTTACTTTTTACAAGTCTTTACAAGACTTTTCTGTGATTTCGCGGGTCTTGCACTGTTGATGCTCTCCTTTCGCCATGATGAACTGGCTATCCGACTTTCTAATTGCTAAGGGTGTGCATTAAAAGTCTTCAATATTTACAGCATATTTTGGACCAAATGGAGAGGAACTAAAAAAATGAAGGCGCTTTTGCCATATGTCCAAATACGATTATTTTCGTACTATTACATTAACAATTTTTGGTGATCTTTTCCAGATCGGCGATGATATTAAGTAAACAACTATTCAAATTTTCTGGCCGATTTTATTTTAAGAAAGAACTTCTTATTTTTTTACAACATTTTTTAAACTCCATTTTGTGCTAATTTTCAAATAATAAACAAATTTAATGGCTTAACAAATAAAATAAATAAATAAATGCGTAGATTACTAAATGTTAATAAATAAAATAAATCATATTAATTTATGTGCGTCCTTGTACAATTTAGATTTAAATTAACAATTGCAACTTTTGCAATTCTAACAAGTTTCCCTCTCTCTTTTTTTTTCAAAAATTTTCTTGTGTGAGTGTTCGAATAATAAAAAAAACAAACAACACACATAAACAAATTAATAAAACTTTGACGCAATTAACAATTAAGTTTATATGAAAATTTATAAATTGTATTTATTTTGTGTTATCAACTTTTCGTCACACTTAGGAATAGTACTTTACGCCTTACTGCTTAGTCGGCCTATTCCCCCTCCCTCTATTTGAAATATGTAGGAATACCATTCTGTATCAATACGCACTTTGGATTTATAACTGGGTCACTGCATTTGTTTTGATTGATAGACGATAGATGATAACCTTTTGTTCTCGTTTATTATTGTAGTGTTTCTTTTAGATTTTTAGTTTTCAATTTAGTTGTATTTTTATTTTTCTCAATAAAAATATTTAAATTTATTTTATTTTGAATTTAATTAATGTGTTTTCAAAACGCACATTTTTTAATTGAATTATCATGTTTATGTTTTAAATATGAATTCCGTTTACTACTCATTCATAAACAACATTATCATAAAAAGAGAACAGTATTAGAGCTAGTGTTAGAGCTTCAACATAACGCCAATCGACTGAGTTACAATTCGCCATAAACTTGGTGTAGGGTATTGTATGTATAGGCTTGTTGCAACTAACTAGTTCTATTAATATTTTCAATAAATTTTCCAGTTTGAATTTTAAATTTTATATATTCCAGTATTGTTGAAGTTTGTGCGAATGTTTGCATTTGAATAAATTTATTTGTATTTTCTCATTATTGATTAACATTCTAATCTAGAAGAATTTCTAAGGACAGCAAGATTGTTTACACATTGTTATAAAATTGATTTTATTAAAGCAAATGCTTGTAATCAACAATTAGGCGTTTGAAGGAATTAAATCATTGTCTATAGACAGGTTTTGAAAAATAAGGAATATACTTGATTTTTGATATGTGTTATAGAATGTCCTACAAGTATAATACTTATATTCAGGTAACAAAGCCCAGGAGAAATTGTTTTAGTTCCAAATTGCATGATTATAAACCTGTACACTTTCTATTTTGTAATTGTCTCCTTCCAAATTGATTCTATGAGTTGGCACAAATTTGTCTTCCTTGGAGCTAGTTGTAGGAAAACTTTAGAGAACATTGCCACCTTCTTTAGCACAATTCAAGAAATAGTTACTTTTTACCAGGCTTGGGGGGTAATGATTACATTTTCAATTACAATTACATTTGAAGTAATTGTTATTGAAGCTTTACCAATTACTTGTAATTGTCTCCTTCCGACTTGATTCTGTGGAATCGTTATGAAGTCGACACAAATTTGTCATCCTCGGAACTAGTTCTAGGAAAACTTTAGAGAACATTGCCACCTTCTTTAGCACAATTCAAGAAATAGTTACTTTTTACCAGGGGGTAATGACTACTTGGGGGGTAATGACTACATACTTACTTTTCAATTACAATTACATTTGAAGTAATGTTATTGAAGCTTTACCATTAGTTGTATTGTTATGAGTTTCTTGAATAATTTGCAGTTACAATTACATATAATGTATTGGTAAAGTAATACCTAACTTACAATTACAACTTATGTGGACGGGACGGACGGACGGACACGGACGGACGGAGACGGAACGGAGGAGAGGACGGACGGACGGACGGACGGACGGACGGACGGACGGACGGACGGACGGACGGACGGACGGACGGACGAAGGGACGACGGACGGACGGACGGACGGACGGAGGACGGACGGACGGACGGACGGAGGACGGGGGACGGACGGACGGACGACGGACGGACGGACGGACGGAGGACGACGGACGGACGACGGACGGACGGACGGACGAGGACGGACGGACGGACGGGACGACGGACGGACGGACGACGGACGGACGGACGGACGACGGACGGACGGACGGACGGACGGACGGGAAGGACGGACGGACGGACGGACGGACGACGGACGGACGGACGGACGGACGGACGACGGACGACGGACGGACGGACGACGGACGGACGGACGGACGGACGACGGACTTACTACTTACTACTACTTACTGACTTACTACTTACTTACTTACTTACTTACTTACTTACTTACTACTTACTTACTTACTTACTTACTTACTTACTTACTTACTTACTTACTTACTTACTTACTACTTACTTACTTACTTACTTACTTACTTACTTACTTACTTACTTACTTATAACGAACATTTGGATTAGGTTAAGAAGGGTTATACAACATAAAACGATGCATATCCACTCGGATTCCCTTCAAGGAGTGAGGATTCAAAAACAGATAAACAAAAGAAAGCACACCCAAAGAATAAAGAGATAATAGAGAAAATCTTCGTTCCCCTATAAAGCCCAGTCGAAGAAGTGACTAATGCTCTTGACAAAACCTAGTAAACTGCGAGGGTCAAGACCCGCAATATCCCCAATTTCGTCGTTGAACGTATTTCTTAGCCATTTCCTCCTGAGAATAAAGAACATTTCTTCCTAAATAATCTCCATTCCAAATATTAATAAAAATTTTCCATTTTCTTCTTTCTAGAAAATTTTTATTCACCCTCACCACTTTTGGACAATTCACTAGATAGTGTGGTCACCAATCCAACACAGGTGATAAAAGTGCAATCACCCATCGACATCAATCATTTTGGATTTGCCAATCATGGAGCATCAATTCTAACATCATTGACACCACCCAGCTCCCCACCACAAAGCGTTGCTTCACCAGTACCACAGGCATTGGAATTACCAACAACCACAGCGCCGGAAATCACTAATTTACCACTAAATGTAAGCACAGCTTTAAACTTTATTCTATAACTAAACTAAACTTAATCTCTTAATTTACAGATCAATGATGTTTTACAAACTACCGCGGCATCAGAACCCACTTCTCCAGTTCCAGTTCAAAACCAATTCGTCTTCAACAATTGGAATAACCATCATAGTACAACTGATACAGCATCATCGAGCGTTGTTTCGTCGCCATCCTCCAATGGCTCTTCGAATTATGACATTGTTTTGAATACACAAATAATCGATGATATACTCAAGACCGCAGCCAATGAGTTCTTCGAAGAGAGTGAATCGCAATCTTCGATTTCGGCTCCTTCCACGGTAGACTACACAACCACCGATGATGAATGGATGCCCTCGTCCGGCAGTTGTTCTCCTTCACAAATTGTCTCAAACGAAACGTTTAACGAATCTTCTGGCACTTGTGGCGGTACAAAGAAACGTACTCGTCCCTATGGGCGTGGTGTTGAAGATCGTAAAAAACGTAAGAAGGAACAAAATAAAAATGCTGCTACTCGTTATCGCCAGAAAAAGAAGCTCGAAATGGAAATCATACAAATTGAAGAACAGGAACTTAGTCAACGTCATGAGGTCCTAAAACGTCAGTTGGCCGAATACAAACGTGAAGAGAAATACTTGAAACGTCTCATACGCGAGTTCTATGCTAAGAAAAATTAAAAAAAAAAAATAATTGAAATTCCAAGCCACTATCTTTCAAGCGGAAAATACGTCACCATTTATGTGTTTAACTTTTTTTCTTCTTTTAAATTATGTTTTAATTCCCCCTAACAGTTTTGTAAGAATTTATCTCTCGTTTTACAAAATTTATGTTTTTAATTAATAATTGTACTTTTTTTATATTCATATTACTTTAATGTTTTATTACAAGTTTTTTTATATATTGTATTTACTTTTAGTAAGCAATTAATAATTGTGTGTGTATTTTTGTTTGCAAAATTATTATTATTATTATTATTATTACGTCTTAATATATGTCCCCCTCCCCTGTTGTAATGCTAAAAAGTTTTTATTTTTCAAAATTTCCACCTTCAAATAATGTTTTTAAAGCAGTTTTTTATGTAAATCTAGTGCATTAGTTTTAGAAGTATTTGTGTTTATTTGTTAAATATTAACACTTATGACATGATCTAATTTTACAAACGGTCATCGAATCTATTTTGTTAGTTTAACAAAGAAAACCAACAATTAATATCAATATGAATGTAGATTTAAAAAAATATATACATATATATAACAAAACTAAACCCTTTGTTCTAAATCTATATTTAATGCTTCTCAATGCACTGGACAGAATAATAAAATTTTAAAAGAAATACATACATAAATAAATAAATACATATATTTTAATTTCAAATTTTACACAATAAAGGGTTTTACAAATAAAAAAAATGGTTTTGATTTCTTTTTAATTTATTACCGGAATTTAGTTTTATTGTTGAAATCCCTTGAAAGTAAACAGACCAAAAATATTCCAAACTATCTAACCTCAAAATATGTTCCCATACTTAAACGGTCATTATGCTACTCTACTCCTGATATGTTTTCGAATTAATATGACCCAAAAAACCAATAGCAAATATCGTCACAGTGACCTCAGGATTTTTCGTAATAAATTTCTCTATTTCATGTTTACAATTCGAATTCTGTTCAACCTTAAGCTCTTTTAAGTCCCTTGATTTTAATGCCACCAATGATGTACATCTTAAATTATAATTTCCAAAAATAGTTAATGCCCTAAGATTGCAACACTTCTCCAATATAGGCTGCAGCAACTCGTCTGTCAACTGGCAATAACTTAAATCGAGAAATTCTAGTTGAGCGGCCACTTTCATTAAACATTTTTGATAATTTTCATCGAATTGCACATAATGCAAAGTCAGGAATTGTAGAGACTCCTGACAGCAAATGGGTTGTAGGTAATTAAGAGTTAAGGGCGAAGACAAAGAGTAACCAGCACTAATGTAAAGACTTTTTAAATTTCGTCCTATAATTTCTAGTTGTTGGTTAGTGAATGCCGGAGGATCTCTAAGATTAATAGTTAAATGTTTTATCAATGCCAGTCTTTCGTATATAATATCATCAATTCTTTTGCAAACGCCACCCAAGAGGGTAAAGGTTTCGTGTATATTTAAATATTTTAATATTTCCAGCAGACAGTCATCGTTTAAATCCAAAAGAAGTGTTTCACCATTAACGCTGTCTTCTTTTGGAGTCATCTGTAAATAGAAGAAAATAAACAATAAATAATTAACTAATTACTTAATAATATTAAAATTAAATATTGTAATTCCTTTCAAAACAAACTGGAAATATCATTCATAAGTTAGAAAGAGATAAGAATTTACACCTAAGTAAGACGTTGAAAAGAGTAACCTATTCCACTGGTAAGACTTAGCAGATGACATCTCATCTCTCTTCAACATCATCACATAACCTATAAAAGATCGATGGAACTACGGAATCTATCAGAAATCTTTTGTAATAGTAACATACAGATCGATTAACAACCTAGATCTGAACGTTGTTGAAAACCTATAAATGTCAGTCACGTCGGTCTCTTGTATATTGCAATGTACCAAATCCAAACAAAGCCATTTATTTGAACTGTTCAATCAACGGTCTTACAGCAACTTCACAGCCAATGTTAGATCGGCTTGACGCCTTTAGCAAGCACTGTAGTTAGCTTAGAAACAGCCACTCTTGATTTACACCACAATGGTGTTTATATTAGTTGTACTACTACCAACTTTGAGGTTCATTTAGCTTCTACTTCCCGTAACGGATCAGCTTATTCGTGTGTTCAACTTGGGGACCATAAGGTCCATTCGCAGAAAGTTAAGATTTAAAGATAGAGAAGCAAAACACTTAATATCTTTTCAGGTGTTGCAAAGGGACCAATAGGACTCACATGTGCCTGTTTTAGGTTAATATGGGTTATTCACTATAAAAGGGTGCAACTCGGAGACAATTAGGTCTATTCGTAGAAAGTTAAGATTCAAAGATAGAAAAGCAAAACACTAGAAAAACAAACAAGAGCGTAAGTAAAGAGAAGAGATGAATGGAAACAGGTCGATATCCCAAGGGGTTTCAACCCAGAAGATTTACCGAGTCGATTTCCTAAAGAAAGAAATTTGACAGAATATAAAACCCAATCAAATAAATTACTAATTCTCTTGATAAAACCTAGTAGACTTCGTGTGTTAAGTCCCGCAATTTCCCCCACTTCGTCATGGAACCCATGTACCAACCATTTAAACCTGAGTTCCTGTATTCTAGGACATTTGCAAATTATTTGCATGATCGTCTCTAGTTTCTGTGCGTCTTCGCATAACCTGCAATAGTCCTGTATATTACTGTTCCACTTACTGACAAAGGACAATGCCCTGTAGGCATCCCTGTGAGAATCCTTAGACTGCGCTTATCCAATTCTATAAGTGTCACGGTAGTCCTCTCATCGAGTGAAAGGACTTTAATATTTTACAATCCATTTTACTATTCCAGGTTTGGTTTATGATTTCACGGGTTCTCTCCGATATCAACCTATAGTAGTGACAGATGGGTTTTTTTACCCACCTTTCCCTGTCATCTATATTAAGGCTCGAACCTTATCTAGGTAGTTCGTCCACAACCTCATTACCAAGCATAAGGTAGTGCAGCAGCACCCAGCACAGTCTAATGGTAAACAGTCTCATAATGTCCCGAAGGGCATTTATTCAATCTACAACCAGTCCTGAATGTACCATGTGACATGCCAATGCTTTAAGAAGAGCTTGACTAACGACATAAATTGTTACAACCGACCCTAAATCGATATGATTACGTACCAGTTCCGTCGCTTTCCAGATTGTTAGGATCTCTGTTCAGAAGGCACTATATTTGTCAGGGAGTATGAAGGATTTTTTTATATCAGTGTCAGAGATGTAGACGACGGCAGCCGTCGGTGAAAGTTGCAAACCCATCAAACAGTCTATCGGATACAAGCTAATCATCCCTAGTTGTAAATTCCATCAGAGATGTTTCCCCGAAGTCTCGAGTCGTTAAACCATAAATTGTAATTTCACAGGGGGAGTTGCCATGTTCAAGGAGACCTACTTCGTACAGAAGGTTTGACTAACGAAGAATCATTCTATAGGTGCCAGGTACAGAATGATGTCCAAGGCTGCTTGTGGAATACTAGTAATGGCACGAGTCGTACTACTAATGGTAAAGAGTCGTTAAACCATAAATTATAATTCCACGGGTCGAGTTATCATAACCTAGTAGTCCTGCTTCGTACAGATGGTTTGACTAACGAAGACTTATTCTATATGTGCCAGGTACAGAATGATGTCCAAGGCACACCTTAGAGTTTTATTGAGCATCTCCCGATAATTCTTCTTTATCAAATCCTCTCACCGGAAAACGCAACCATAATTCAAAATAGGCCTGACAACCGACGTGTAAATCCGATTAACTATATCTTGTTGCAGTCCCCGATTCTTTCCTATATAATATTTGCATATGTATTCCTGAGTATTCTATCTTTCGACGAAGTCGTGCTGTCAAGGATAGCCCCTAAATATTTAGCTCCTCTAGATAAACATAGTTCGATGCTATCTAACCAAAAACATCACGTCATTGGCATAGGCAACGATCTTCCTACCTTTAGATTCAAATAGTCTTAGAATACCGTTAGCCGCTAGTAGCCACAATATAGCGATAAAACATTCCCTGTATCCTTCTGGTAATCCTTTTTGTAATTCGACGATAACCTTGGTTCAAGTTTACAATTCTTCAGGAAGTCGTTAATTCACTTCACCAGGAAGCCCTGAGCTCTACAAGCGAAACCCTAATCGTCTCAATCTTTATATTATTGAAAGTGCCTCTATATAAAAAAACAGCAAGCTGTGCTCAACACAACTCCTATCATCTGTCAAGTTTCTTCAAGAGAAAAGAAGATAAGCTGATAGGTAGAAAATTCTTTGGCTTTGAGTGGCTAGCCTTCACGGCGTAACATGTTTACCTATAATGCAGACAGACTCTTAACAGTGAACAAGTATCAGTTCTGTCGTTTTCCAGATCGCAAGATTCTCTAATTGGAGGAATCTATCGGAGTTCATTGTTGGAATCTATAGGATTTTATTGTTGTTGCTGTCAACAATGAGTAATGTACTGCTTCCATATCAGTTTTCATTTTAGATAAATACATCAATAAAATACAGATTTTACTGCATTAATTGTCATTCCACAAAGAGTTTATCGAATCCAATCTAGTCTTTTCTATTATAAAATTCTACCGAAGTTTTCGCCCCGAAGTCAATGATTAAAAATGTTATTGTGAATACAAGGTGTAGGGTGTTTTATTAAGAACGAGATGAGCTTTGTTTCTACAATTAAAATACTTGTGGGTTAGTTACGGAAACATCTAATCCTTATTTTGAATGAAGATACAGCCAGATAGCTACAGAACAATGCCAACGAAGAAAATAGTTAAAATTCGTATTTAATTTTTTTTATCATCATAATGTTTATACCCTACACCACTTTAGTGGGGAGGGTATATTGGATTTGTGCTGATGTTTGTAACATACAAAAATATTCGTCCTAGACCCACCTTAAAGTATACCAATCGGCTTAGAATCGTTTTCTCAGATTAAGCTATGTCCGTCCGTCCGTCCGTCTGGCTGGATGTCCATGTAAACCTTGTGCGCAAGGTACAGGTCGCAATTTTCAAGATGATTGGATGAAATTTGGCACGCACGTTTTATTTGACCCAAGGACGAAGGCTATTGAAAATGGTTAAAATCGGTCCATTATTTCACCTAGCCCCCATAGAACAGAACCCCCCGAAAAGGGCTTCTGAGCTCATAATTATGTAAAATATACAGATATATTGATAAAATACGGCACAACTAAGTTTTATAGAAGTCTTGATGACCCTGCCAAATTTCATAAAGATCGGGCCCCATTTGACCCTAGCTCCCATACAAAGTCCCCTTCAGAAAATTACTTGAATGTCCCAAATTAATTTATAAACACAAATATCGCGATGAAATTCAGCACAATAAAATATTATGTAAATATAAATATATTCACAAAATTTTATCGGGCTTGGTCCATATTTGCCCCTAGCCCCCATATAAAGCCTCTTTCAGAAAATTAGTTTTTTATCCATAAATTGCTTAAATGTATTGGAACAAGGGAATATTGAAGATAAATGCTTTATTATGAAAAACAAATCACATTTAATATTCATAACTGGTGTAGGGTATCATATGGTCGGCCACGCCCGACTATACTTTCTTACTTGTTTTTCTTTTATTTTGCTTGTGTACAGTGACAAGCATTAAACTTACATACATATGTATATTTACTTAATACTGGTATATGTATAACTTTATTAAATCCCATTTAACTAGTATTTTTAGTTTATTTTAATACTTATAATTGATTTTTCTCCCATTCGTGCAGATAAGAGTTATATGAGTATTTTGTCGTCTATTTTTAAACAAAAACGGATTAGGAGATGCTAATTCGTCGTATAAGAGCTAGTGATAGACTTTGTATGTTTGCATTTGCATTTCATAATCGGATTAACGTGATAGATAATCGATTTAATTCGATTTGTATTAAATGTTGTTAAATAAATATAAAATTGCACATTAAGTAGGACTGTGAAAAACGAACTACATATATAGTGAAGAAAATAGAGACTAAGAGAACTATGTAGTGCCATAACTGGCTGAAAAGAAGGCATGTCTCTGTACTGACTATAAACAAAGCATAGTTTAAAGACCTATTATTGAATGTTAGGTTCAGATGTCAGAGACCAGACTATTTGCTGTTAGAGAGAAAAATTTATACTTGGCTATAGACTAGACTATAGACTAGACTAACAACTAGACTATATACTAGACTACAGAATGGACTATAAACTAGAATATAGACTAGACTATAAACTAGACTATAGACTAGAATATAGACTAGACTATAGACTAGACTATAAACTAGACTATAGGCTAGATTAGACTATAGACTAGACTATAGACTAGACTATAAACTAGACCAGACTATAGGCTAGACTAGACTATAGACTAGACTATAGACTAGACTATAGTCTAGTCTAGTCTAGTCTATAGTCTAGTCTATAGTCTAGTCTATAGTCTAGTCTATAGTCTAGTCTATAGTCTAGTCTATAGTCTAGTCTATAGTCTAGTCTAGTCTAGTCTATAGTCTAGTCTATAGTCTAGTCTATAGTCTAGTCTATAGTCTAGTCTATAGTCTAGTCTATAGTCTAGTCTATAGTCTAGTCTATAGTCTAGTCTATAGTCTAGTCTATAGTCTAGTCTATAGTCTAGTCTATAGTCTAGTCTATAGTCTAGTCTATGGTCTAATCTGTAGTCTAGTCTAGTCTATAGTCTAGTCTACATTCTAGTCTATAGTCTGGTCTATAGTCTAGTCTATAGTCTAGTCTAAAGTCTAGTCTATAGTCTAGACTATAGTCTAGTCTATAGACTAGACTATAGACTAGACTATAGACTAGACTAGACTAGACTATAGACTAGACTATAGACTAGACTAGACTATAGACTAGACTATAGACTAGACTATAGACTAGACTATAGACTAGACTATAGACTAGACTATAGACTAGACTATAGACTAGACTATAGACTAGACTATAGACTAGACTATAGACTAGACTATAGACTAGACTATAGACTAGACTATAGACTAGACTATAGACTAGACTATAGACTAGACTATAGACTAGACTATAGACTAGACTATAGACTAGACTATAGACTAGACTATAGACTAGACTATAGACTCGACTATAGACTAGACTATAGACTAGACTATAGACTAGACTATAGACTAGACTATATACCTAGGACTATAGACTAGACTATAGACTAGACTATAGACTAGACTATAGACTAGACTAGTAGACTAGACTATAGACTAGACTATAGACTTAGACTATAGACTAGACTATAGACTAGACTATAGACTAGACTATAGACTTAGACTATAGACTAGACTATAGACTAGACTATAATAGACTATAGACTAGACTATAGACTAGACTATAGGGACTAGACTATAGACTAGACTATAGACTAGACTATAGATAGACTATAGACTAGCGACTAGACTAGACTATAGACTAGGACTATAGACTAGACTATAGACTAATAGACTAGACTTAGACTAGACTATAGACTAGACTATAGACTAGACTATAGACTAGACTATAGACCTAGACTATAGACTAGACTATAGACTAGACTATAGACTAGACTATAGACTAGACTATAGACTAGACTAAGACTAGACTATAGACTAGATATAGACTAGACTAGATAGACTATAGACTCGACTATAGACTAGACTATAGACTAGACTATAGACTAGACTATAGACTAGACTATAGACTAGACTATAGACTAGACTATAGACTAGACTATAGACTAGACTATAGACTAGACTATAGACTAGACTATAGACTAGACTATAGACTAGACTATAGACTAGACTAGACTAGACTAGACTAGACTATAGACTAGACTATAGACTAGACTATAGACTAGACTATAGACTAGACTATAGACTAGACTATAGACTAGACTATAGACTAGACTATAGACTAGACTATAGACTAGACTATAGACTAGACTATAGACTAGACTATAGACTAGACTATAGACTAGACTATAGACTAGACTATAGACTAGACTATAGACTAGACTATAGACTAGACTATAGACTAGACTAGACTATAGACTAGACTATAGACTAGACTATAGACTAGACTATAGACTAGACTATAGACTATACTATAGACTAGACTACATACCAGACTATAGACTAGACCATAGACTAGACTATAGACTCGACTATAGTCTAAATTATAGACTCGACTATAGACTATATTGTAGACTAGACTATAGTCTAGATTATAGACTCGACTATATTATAGACTAGACTATAGACTTGACTACTCCATTTTATATGTGAAATATTTAATGTTTATTGCAAATAATTCTACCTGGAAAAATGCCAGAAATCTCAAACGCTTCTTAAATTCCCCGCTAACTGCTAAAACGCATTTCTCCTGCATTTGGAATTATAACAGTACTTAATTTATAACATTTGTTTTTTTTGTAATTTTTATCTTTTTAAATATTTATTTAATTAATAGACAATAACTTCTCATTCATTATGCATAATACACATTTCCTTACCTCGTTTAACTGTTAATGAGAAAATACTTAGTAACCGGTCGGTGGTCACCTGTCAATTAAGAGACATGCAATACTGTAAACAATGTAGACAATTCATTAACAAGTAGTAATTTTTCCTTTATAAAAATATAAATTTATATTTTACCTTCCGAATATGGATAATATTTGATTTTCGTATTGGCAAATAAAAATAATTTTATTTTCATTTAGATACTTTAAAATTTTAATTAAAGTTTTTAAGAATTTGTAAAAGTATTACGTTGTTAATTAATTATAATATTTATGTTGTTTATTTACACAGTTTTGCTGATTTTATTTAAAATTCTAGTTGTATAATATATTTATTTTATGTATTTCTTTATAAAATTTTTATTGAACTATTTTTGGTCTTAAATATATTTATAATAATTCCACTAAAAAACAATATCCGAATTTGTATTTAGAAAATATTCTAAATGTGTATTCCAAAAATATTGACAAAAAAAAAAAAAACAACAATATATGTAAGAAAAGTGAATGAGAAATACTAATAAAAACATATAGCACAAATCTTGCCAGATCGCAGAATTTCTAATGTCAGAATTTTAATTGTAAACAAAAATATATATTTAGTTGTTTGTGTCTACAAAATAAAGAATGTCAAATACATTGAAAATATTTAGTATAAAATAAACAATTTCTATTAAATATAGGAAGTAAATTTGTTTTAATGAATATGTAAAAAGACAATGGAAACAAATGCAAACATTTGCAAATTTGTAAGTATTAGTAAACAATTTGTTTTGTTTTTTGTTTTATTGTACAAATAAATAAAAGCCTAGTGTTAAACAAATTTGTATTAATTACACAGGGCAACATTGATAGAACATTTTAGATATCAAAATTTAAAATTCTAACGATTTGTTGTCAAAGAACAGGAGCTAACTTTAGTCCCTGTCAAGAAAATGTAATTACGAAATAGGGGTAAATACCGGTATCGCAAAATTACCCTTATTACTACAATATCATTACCGAAATAAACCGTTATATTTACCATAAGGTTGGCAGCCATGAATAATACTAAAATGTTATACTTTGACTAAAATTATATGTTTTGTGTTCTCATGCCATACCCCCATTTTATGAATGTCTGGGTGATTTTATCGTAAAGATACATATGGGTCATTTCGTGTCAAGTGACCCAACTTTAAAAATCGATGTCTTCCGATTTCACTCTAAGTTCGCCAGTTCTGGACCGATAGCATCTGGCCTACCATCCAATAGTACTAACCATGGTGCAAATTTCCTCAAAATCGATTTTTGGAGTTGGTTCACTTGATATGAAATTGCCCATATATAATGACAGATTTCACACAAAAATTATTTTGATTTAGAGAACTCCTAAAGCCCCCTTCACACGAGCACACAAGTAATATGATCTGTCAAAATTTTGTGTAGAAGAGAACGGATGGAATCGTCTAAACGCAATATGTAATGAAACCATCACATATCGAGAGAAAATACGGATGGAAAACGTATGGCTCTCTTGATTTTTTGAAATGATTCTAAAAGCAAGCAAGTCGCATTAGATCAGTGATGTATTTTTATGTAAACACATACGAAAAAAGTGAAACAGCTGTTATCACCTTACTTTGTTATTGTTTTATACCAATCGTGTAAACAAGAAAAATATAATTCATACGACTTTTATTCTCTTTTTTATCATACGGATGGAATTTCATTTTACTTTTTCATTAGACTTGTCGTACGCAAAGTGTGAACGTCTGAAGGGCCCTTAAATGGTTAAATTATAACTGGAGGTTGGAATAATGGTCTATAAAGTTTGAAAACCTAAAAAATATTTTGATTACATGTAAGTTCCAATACTCGACTACACCTTTTTCAATTGAAAATGAGAACTTTTCATTTCAATTCAGAAAATATCAATTGAAATTGAGATTTTCCATGTGAAATTCAGAAAATTCCAGTTGAAAATGAGATTTTTCATTTGAAATTCAGAAAAATGCAATTGAAAATGAGAAAAAAAGTAAATTAAAATGATAATATTACAATTAATTTTAACCAAAGAATATTTATTTTATTACAAGAATACGCATCTCGACGTGCGGGTTGTCATGATTTACACGTATTCTTTATGTATCTCGACCCGCTATTGAAAATTTATCTTGTATGAGATGCACCTTCTATGTTATTTGTTTTAACTTAATGTTGAAAAACATCCATACACGTAGTTTTCTGAATTTCAAACGAAAAATCTCATTTTCAATTGGATTTTTCTAAATTTCAAATGAAAAATCTCACTTTCAATTGGAATTTTCTGAATTTCAAATTGAAAATCTCATTTTCAATTAGAATTTTCTGAATTTGAAACGAAAAATCTCATTTTCAATTGTAGTTTTCCGAATTTCAAACAAAAAATTTCATTTTCAACTGTTCTTTTCTGAATTTCAAATGGAATATCTCAATTTCAATTGATATTTTCTGAATTATAAAAAAAAATTCTCATTTTCAATTGTTCTTTTCTAAATTTCAAATGAAAAACCCCATTTTCAACTGTTCTTTTCTTAATTTCAAATGAAAAATCTCATTTACAATTGAGCTTTTCTGAATTACTGTTGAAAATGGTGTAGTTGAATTTACATAAAGTACAATCTTTTAAATTGGATCAGCAACAAAATATTGCAATCGTTTTATATATCTTACATACACGGAGTGATTTTTTTAGAGAAATCTAGACTCGTGAGCTTGAAAGGTCCAAATTCGAACCGTTTAGAAACGTCAATCCTTTTTCAAGATTCTCCCTTTTGACAGCTTTCGCAATTACTTTCCATAATCATTTCCCCTACAGCCGGTTCTTCGTACAGGAATGACCAGTATCTTATTGGTACCGGAGTGGAAATAAATCCCGGACCTTGGTTCTGCAGAGTTTGCCAGCATCGTCGTTGTAGTTGTAATCCAGGAGTCAAATCCAAGTCTGCTCAGTTGCTCTGTTCAGCAATACATTCATCATACAGAAGAGTATAGAGTTAATTTCCTTGATCTCAAAGCTAGATACCATTATGAGGAGGGCATACCAAATTATGTACAGAATTCCTTATATCGTATTTCGATCCTACTTCGTACTTAGCCCTATGGATTTTTAGACTAATTCAGAAGAAGTAGCACAATTTCTATGCTTGGACCTTAAGGTAGAACCGCCCGGATAAGAAATTAAAGTTTTTGTAAACATTGTTCAGTTCATCCAAATCTATTTTTAATACAATTAACAAAATATTAATTATTTTACAATAAGGATGAAATTGGTTAAAATCGGTTAATATTTTTCATTAAAAATGTATTCCCAATCTTTATTCGACATGAATACCTAATTTTTAAATACAATACACAGATCCATACCAATGAATAAATAAAATATATTTAATAAATATAAAAAAATATATATAAAATCAAAACGTTTAGTATTTTATTTGCAATTTAGAATTGAGTAGCTTAAAATCTAAAATTTTTTTTAACAGCTGCCTGTTAATTTTCTCACGCAAAATGTGTTAAATTTCCACAGCTGTCAAATATCTATTCCGAAGGACCATAAACATTAAAATTTAAACGTCCCTGAGAGTATACCTTCACCGACACTTGAGGATTTTCCGCAACATACGATTGAATGGAATCTCGGGAAAATGCATTTTGTTCAACTTGAATTTGTTTCAAGTGCTTGGAATTTAAACTTTTCAACGAATCACATTTTAGAGTATAATTTCCTAGTAGAGAAAGAAATTTAAGTTTCTGGCAATTCTCTAATATGGGTTCCAATAATTCATCGGTAAGTTGACAATAGTTTAGATTTAAATCTTGTATTTGGGGAGCCAATGCTAAAAGACATTTTTGACATTCTTCATCAAATTGAAAATAATGTAATTTCAATGTTTGTAAGTGCGTAGCCTGAGAGCATAGCGGTTTTAGATATTGTAGTATCAAATCGGTTGGCAATGAATAACCGGCACTTATATAGAGACTCTTTAAATTTTGTCCAATTATTTCTAGCTGCCATGTAGTGAATTCTGGTGGTTCGCGAAAGTTGACCTCAAAATGTTTCAGTTGTGCAATTCTTTCGTAAGCAACATCTTGAAATCTCGGATGCAAAGTCATAAGATTGAAAGTATCTTGTATGGTTAGATATTGTAATATTTCCATGATGCAGTCGTCATTTAAATCTAACAAGGTTTTGTTGGTGGTATTCATCTGTAAAAAAGGGATACATATTTAATATGGATTTTAATATAAGTTAACAGAAGTTTTCGATATTCCTTTATTTAAAATACAAAATACTTATATGTACACGATTTTATCATGGCTTTATCAACTGGGAATACGTTTTTAATTCGATTGGATTACTTTAAGGAGGGTCTCCAACGCAAACATAGAACACGCATGCCACTAATTATAGTCACTTGATGAATAAGGGTTTAAATTTACTTCAACAATTTAAAATAGAACAGAATTAGAACTGAACCAAGACATAACTAGAACAGAATTTGAACAGAACTAGCATAGAACCAGAACTGAAAAAAAAACTTAACTAAAACTGAACTAGAACTGAACTAAAACTGAACTAGAACTGAACTAGAACAAAACTAGGACAAAAGTAGAACATAACTAGAATATGTATAGAACAGAACTAGAACGGAACTAGAATAGAACTAGAACTGAACTAGAACAGATCTAGAACAGAACTAGAACAGAACTAGAACAGAACTAGAACAGATCTAGAACAGATCTAGAACAGAACTAGAACAGAACAGAACTAGAACAGAACTAGAACAGAACTAGAACAGAACTAGAACTGAACTAGAACTGAACTAGAACAGAACTAGAACAGAACTAGAACAGAATTAGAACAGAACTAGAACAGAACTAGAACAGAACTAGAACGGAACTAGAACAGAACAGAACTAGAACAGAACTAGAACAGAACTAGAACAGAACTAGAACAGAACTAGAACAGAACTAGAACAGAACTAGAACAGAACTAGAACAGAACTAGAACAGAACTAGAACAGAACTAGAACAGAACTAGAACAGAACTAGAACAGAACTAGAACAGAACTAGAACAGAACTAGAACAGAACTAGAACAGAACTAGAACAGAACTAGAACAGAACTAGAACAGAACTAGAATAGAACTAGAACAGAACTAGAACAGAACTAGAAAAAGAACTAGAAAAAAACAAGAACAGAACTAGAACAGAACTAGAACAGAACTAGAACAGAACTAGAACAAAACTAAAACAGAACAGAACTAGAACAAAACTAAAACAGAACTAGAACAGAACTAGACAGAACTAGAACAGAACTAGAATAGAACTAGAACAGAACTAGAACAGAACTAGAACAGAACTAGAACAGAACTAGAACAGAACTAGAACAGAACTAGAACAGAACTAGAACAGAACTAGAACAGAACTAGAACAGAACTAGAACAGAACTAGAACAGAACTAGAACAGAACTAGAACAGAACTAGAACAGAACTAGAACAGAACTAGAACAGAACTAGAACAGAACTAGAACAGAACTAGAACAGAACTAGAACAGAACTAGAACAGAACTAGAACAGAACTAGAACAGAACTAGAACAGAACAGAACTAGAACAGAACTAGAACTGAACTAGAACAGAATTAGAACAGAACTATAACAGAACTAGAACTGATTTAAAGTTGAACATAAACATTTTATTTAGTGTCTAGAGAAATGTTTTTCAAATGCTTAGATATCAGTATCGACATGGGTTTAAGAAGTAGGCCTCTTAAAGCTTCATAGTAAGGTCCCTTACTGAAAATTGTATAGCAGTTTACTTTTTGTCAAAACGTAATCCTTTCGGCTATGCTATTTAATGGCATTTAACTACCATTTTTGTTTAAGTTGTGTGTTTTTAGTCAATTCTTAATTGGTTTTTATAAGATCTAAAAGTTAAATCCTTATACAGAATTTAAATATAATATAATAAATCAAAATTTGCAAAAATTTTTGCTTATGACCTACATTAGCATACATCCAATGAAAACATTAAGGATGATTGTTCACAATGTTATATAATTTAAATATATTTTCACGACACGTTTTCCTTGTTTTTTTATTTTGGTCAAAATTTTGGTTGATAGATAAGTCTGTAGCATAATTATGTATACATATATTCACCTCGATATATACATATGTATGTATCTAACAAACCTAATCTGTTATCAAAATTGAATATAATCAAACGTGTTGTTATCAAAACTAAATAAACTAAACAAATGTTGAGATTTTCTTTTCCTCTATATTTAAATTAATTGCAAAAGAACAAAATTCAAATCCCTAAGTGAAAAAAACAACACACACATAAATGCAAAAACAAAAATAATTCTATTTGCTAGAATGTGATTAGATAGATGTTTGAAATGTGTATTATTAAATACTATAGTAGTCCAATGAATAGATAAATAAATGTCAGTCAGTCAGTTAGTACTCGTAGTATTCGCACAAAACGAGCATAATCATTTTTCATCAAAAGCTTTACGTACATTCCGACTAGAAAAATGTTTGATGTACGTGTTGCAAAACACTATTGTTCTTATATGGGCTGAGTCCACTACAAAGGCCGTATAAATGATCTGTAGCAAACACAAATCAAATAACAACGAAATCCAAATAGTCACACATACAAACACTAGAAGAAGATGCATTATGGAACTAGATGAAAGAGTGTCGTTGCTGAGTTTTTGACATTTTCACTACTAAACTAAATTTTCCACATCGTTAATTTATATTAATATGATTCTTTTTATACCCACCATCAAAAAAGATGGGGGGTATATTGATTTTGTCATTCCGTTTGTAACACATCGAAATATTGGTCATAGACCCACAAAAGTATATATATTCTGGGTCCTCATTAAATTCTAAGACGATCTAGCCATGTCTGTCCGTCTGTCCGTCTGTCCGTCCGTCCGTCCGTCTGTCTGTCTGTCTGTCTGTTGAAAGCACGATAGAGTCCGAATGAAAAGAGCTAGAGGGTTGAAATTTCACATAAATATTTCTTATAGGTAAGGTTTGTTTGGTATTGAAAATGGGCAATATCGGTCCACGTTTTCGGATAGCCCCCATACAAGTGGCCCTCGAAAAGCAGCTTTAACAGCCATAACTTGTTTAAAAATACGAATATAGCGATGAAATTCGACATAAGTAAGTTTCTTGTGATCCAAAATCACTGTGCAAAATTTTATGAGGATCGGTCCATAATTGACCCTATCCCCATATAAGGTACCCTTCAGAAAATGACTTTAACGCTCATTACTGGCTTAAAAATTCTAGTATATAGATGAAATTCGTCATAAGTAATTTTCATACGAGTCAAAATCTATCTAAAAAATTTTATGTTGATCGGTCCATGATTGACCCTACCCCCCATATAAGGTCCCCTTCAGAAAATTCCTTTAACGCTTATAACTGGCCTAATAATACGAATATATAGATGAAATTCGACATAAGTAAGTTTCATTCGAGTCAAACGAGGTTTGATGGTGGGTATATAAGATTCGGCATAGCCGAATATAACACTCTTACTTGTTTGTTATTTTATTTATACTTTTTTTGTTGTATTTTTATGTCACAACAACCACCATCATTTCACACTTTGCTTTCGCAAAATAAGCACCCAAAGTGTCACTCATTTTCAGACTTAGCATTTGCTATTTGTTGTTGTGGTTGTTTGGATCGCACCCTTATAATCGAATAAATATATACTTATCATGTTTGTAAGTATATAATGTATTTTGTATATATGTATATTTGTTAGTACCTAAGTATATAAATAAGTAGTTATAGTTTGACTCAATTCATAAAACCGGCTTTTGATTCCAGCCGCTTTGACAAAAGTGGTCTAAAGTAGAAAACAAATATAAACACAATTCTTTTAGTTGCACTGTGGTAACTAAGGTTTTTTATTTGAAACATTTTAATGAAATTTAATTTATATTATGCAAACTATTGCCGATCTATCTTTTCATAATTCCTGCGAAAAGGCGCCATGTTTAGATGTTCCATTTTCATATCCTCAAGTTTCTTCCTAGATACTAGGTCACAACTAGAACTGAAAAAAACAGAACTAGAACAAAACTAGAATAGAACTAGAACAGAACTAGAAAAGAACTAGAACAGAACTAGAACAGAACTAGAACAGAACTAGAACAGAACTAGAACAGAACTAGAACAGAACTAGAACAGAACTAGAACTGAACTAGAACTGAACTGAACTAGAACTGAACTAGAACTGAACTAGAACTGAACTGGAACTGAACTAGAACTGAACTAGAACTGAACTAGAACTGAACTAGAACTGAACTAGAACTCAACTAGAACAGACATAGTAAAGAATTAGAACACAAATAGAACAGAACTAGAACAGAACAGAACAGAACAGAACTAGAACAGAACAGAACTAGAACAGAACAGAACTAGAACAGAACTAGAACAGAACTAGAACAAACCTAGAACAGAACTAGAACAGAACTAGAACAGAACTAGAACAGAACTAGAACAGAACTAGAACAGAAATAGAACAGAACTAGAACAGAACTAGAACAGAACTAGAACAGAACTAGAACAGAACTAGAACAGAACTAGAACAGAAATAGAACAGAACTAGAACAGAACTAGAACAGAACTAGAACAGAACTAGAACAGAACTAGAACAGAACAGAACTAGAACAGAACTAGAACAGAACTAGAACAGAACTAGAACTAGAACAGAACTAGAACAGAACTAGAACAGAACTAGAACAGAACTAGAACAGAACTAGAACAGAACTAAACTAGAACTGAACTTTTTGACCTAGTATCTTCCTAGACACTAGGTCAAAATGTATTCTCAATTGCATTCACTCGCTGTCTAAATTCAGATGGCATTCTGTTAAATTGATGTGGGATACAGGCCATAAAGTCTGATAAGTGTGAGTATCTGGCGAGAAGTCTTTTTTGACCGCAGGATGAGCTTGGGACGATCTAACACCACCTCTTCGTGACCAATGTACAAACACTTTGCTCAACTACTTATGCTATCTAAACCCAGACCATCTCAGTGCCATTGCTTAATGTCCAGCAATCTTCAAATAATATCTGAAGTATTCCATGACGACAAATCACGAACTCCAAGACACTTCGTTCCTTACTTAAAGGGACGCATTGTATTAAGTCTGGTATGAA